CAATAAGTTTACTTACACAACTCTCATAAATGGATATGTTGCTGCTGAGAACTTGAAGGAAGCATTCAGGCTTCATGATGAAATGTTACAGAGAGGTTTTATACCAGATGATAAATTCTAAGATTTGTGTCTTGTTACTTCTGCAAAACATGCTGGAAATGCAAATTTTTTCTTTTGAAGTTGCAAATTCAACTATGGTATTTAGGCTTGATCATGAAATGTTGCAGAGATTCTTATACCAGAAAGGAACGTCTAAGATCTGTCAACTGCTTCATTGAAACTTGCTGGCGTTGCAAATTCAAATTTTCTTACATATGGTAACAAATCTTTTTCCTACCTAGATTTGTGTTCTCAGCTATTGTTCTTTACTTATGTAGTTATCTTCTACAAGGCCTAGTTCTCCAATCCTGCCGGTCTCCACCTGAAGTTCAAAACTCCCCTCAAATCTTGACCGTAAGAACTTCAACAAGATCTTGTCGCAAACTGTTCATCCACGGCCTCATTCATTCTTCTTAATCCCAAGAACAGAGGCTCCGCCTCCTCCTGAATCTTCAATACAGAATCCGGCTTCACCTGGCACCGCATCCACCAGGCAGCACACGCTGCCTCTTTGCCGCTGGTCTCCCTCAAGCAAGCAGATTCCGCTCACACGATCAGGCTATTCCATGCCAACCGCCCTGGCCCGCTCAGCACAAGGCTCCCGTTGTCTCCACTCCAGGCGAGGCCCAAGAGTGCTCCGCATGCAGTCCTACCCGCGATCAAGCCATTCGTCCCGCTAGTCCCGATCGCACCAGCCCAAGCGTCTGCCTCCAGCCGACTGCACTTCGCCTCCGACCGCGCCTCCGGTATCCGAACTTAGCTAGACGTCCGGCCTGCTTGCTCCAGTTAGCCCGATCCAGCGGCTCCGCTCCTGCCTCCTTTGAACGTTCCTCTTTCTTCACCTAGATATCAATTGTTGAAATCAAGGAGCAAGATCTTCAGAGATCTTCTTACAAGAGATAGAGAGGGAGAGCGAGAGTGATAGACATCAATTTGAGAGGAAATATAAATTAACTTTTCAGAAATTTTCCCCAAATCTTGCATCAACCCATAATCTCTATTTATAAAGATTTTCAAGAGTATGATAGCATGCATGGACAATATGAAGTAAAACTAAATCAATACATAACATATTTACTTAAAATCTGCCATTGAAATTTTATTTTTGTACCAATATGTTTAATTTTGTATGTGTTGAGATGAATTAATGATTAGGTTGTAGCCTGCTAAGAGAATTTGCTAAGTCTGAATTGCATCTATTATGATTATTAAGCTTTTAATTCTTATACTTTTTTGCGGAAATAGGTTAAAATTTATGAAAATTGAACCAATATCACAACGTACCACGGAGTCAGCGCCGCAGCAGAGAGGTCTCAAAAAAATTGCTAGAGAGTTTAGCGCTGATGTGTTATCCAGGGAGCACTGATATTGAGGGCCATAGAGCCAAATTGCCTAACGTCGCAATAGGAGAAAGTTGAACCGGTGAACCAATGCGACCAATGATGAACGGACTCGCTGGCCCAATAGCGCCATCAAGCCATTTATTTTGCAATGTTATGAATAAAAGCCGTAGTGTTCATGCTAGGAGGGGGGCAACTTGGAGAGACGTTTGATGTTTCAACTGTCACGATCCGGCCCGGTTAGCTCGTATGGACGAG